TTGGAACTTGAGTGCACAGACTGAAGTTGCATCTTGTGCAATGATTAGATGCTAAGGTCAGCACATAAGGTGGAAGCTGTTAGTCAGAGTTTCCCTTGAAGATGCCCCAGGAAGACTCCACAGTGAAGGCCAGCAGGGTCTGAGTCCGACAGAATGCCAGCCCAGTGCAGCTAGGTTTCCTGTCTTCCGCACCAGGGAAGTCATTGGCATATTTGCAGGAGCCATCATTTTACTATTTTTACCGTTAGCTACACTCGATTAGTAGTGAGTTGTACACCCTGAGAGAGACATACAGGAAATACCTGGGGAAAGCAGATTTATCCTCTTTCACACGCCAAGGAATAGGTTCTTGGAGCGGAATCACCCAGACTGGTCAGTCCAGCCCTCACGCATATTCTCATTCCCTCTCTCTCTCTCTCTCTTTCTCTCTCTCTCCCCCTTAAATATAGAACTTGGGTAAGCTTGGTGTGTTGTGTGTGTAGTGCTGCTCCATTGTGTCTTATTAGAACACTTAAAGCATTTGGGGCTGTGAAGCTGCTACAAAATTAATGAAGGAGAAGCAGCACCCAGAACTCCAACCTCCTTAAACAGGGCTGGCTTCACCAACAGAAGAGTGAAAATGGGACCTTTACTATTTAAATGAAAAGTTTAAAGTAAAGGCCGTGTTGCCGTTTTCTATGTGTGAAAAAGCTTGTATTAGCTTTTTGGATGCCACAAATTCTATTTTGAAAAAGGCAGGGAATAGAAAAGAACTCGGAGTAGATTTCTATTGTAGCATAACAAATTACCACAGACTCGGCCGTTTAAAACAGCATTTCTTTATGATCTCCCAATTCTGTAGATCAGAAGTCCAGATAGGGCTCCACTGGGCTCTGCTCAGGCTCTCGCAGACTGAGCCCGAGAGCCCTGTCCAGGCTCTCACCTGAGACACAAGGGCCCCTTCCAAGAGTTGGCGGCTCCTTCGGGCTGCTGGCAGCGTTCAGCTTCTTGCTGTTGTGGAACTCATGGCACCTGTTTCCTCCAAGGCCAAGGCCAGCAGGAGCGTGTCTGCTGCTGCATCTGTTTCCTTCATGGGCTCACCTGACCAGGTCAGGCCCACATGGGATAATCGTAATGACTGACTCGGATTCACTCCCTGGGGACCTTAATTCCACCTGCCATCTCACGTGAAATAATCGTGGGAGTCAGTATCCCATCGCAGTCACCGTCCTGCCCACACTCCAGGGGAGGGCATTAGACAGGGCTTGTAAACCAGGGGGCGGAAGTCGTGGGAGCCATCCTGGATTCCTGCCTACCACATAAATAATATTACTGAGTACCTACTGAAGTGCCCAACACGGTCCAATTCATTCCCACCTTTGAGTAAAATGGCACTTTCCATGTTTGAACTACAGGGAGACTAAAGCTCGGGGAAATGAAGTAATTTGTGTAACTAGTAAAGAGTGTGATCAGGATGCTAACTTAGATCTGCTGGCCTCCAAAACCCCGCTCTCCATTTGGCCACACTGTCTCTGACCCACCCTGCTGCTTCTCCCTCTTTTCCAGTGTATTTGCTCTCCCCCAACCTCACTGTCCTGGCTGTCGGCCATCCTCACCCGCCCCTGGCACTATTGCAGCAGCCCCCTGCGTGGTCTCCCCACCTTTGCTCTTACTCCTCTCCAGGCTCTTCTCCACGGCCCTAAAGTGCAGCTTGGCCATGTCACTTCCTGCTTGAAAAGCTCGACTATTTGAATCGCTTCTATTGGTTCATACTGTAATACAAACATGTCAAAGGCTAACACGGGCCAAATAAATGAGGCATGTGGCATGCGGCCCGTGAGTTTGACATGCTTGCTATAATACATAGGTTACAAGGCATCCATCTGTGGCTCTGCTTGCAACTCTGACGTCATCTCTCACCTCTGTTTGAGGAGAGTTGCCACATGTTCCCTCTGCCTAGAACACTCTTGACCTCTCTTCATCTGGCTAATTCTACCCAGTTTTCAGGCCTGGGTTAAATGTCACTTCCTCCAGAGGCTAATTAGGTGAGATGCTCGTATTACATGTTCCTATAGCATCCAGTACTTTCCCTATAATATTGTCACATTCTATTATCAGGATATATTGATCTGTGTGTCTGATTCCCAATATCTGGCAGAAAGTGGATACTCTAATAAATATTTATTAAAAAGCTAGAGGCCTGGTGCATGGATTCGTGCACCAGTGGGGTCCCTCAGCCTGGCCTGTGCCCTCTTGTGATCCGGGACCTGTCAGGGGATGTCAGAGGCCCGGTGTACAGATTTGGCCCGATCCCCGCAGGCCAGGCTGAGGGACCCTAGCGGTGCACAAATCCGTGCACCAGGCCTCTAGTATGCATATAAAATCTTTAGTTAATCTCTTCCTCTTCCCTCTGAGATTCATCAATCTGTTCCATGTTTCTATGCCTGTGTGTTGAGCATCTGCCCCTGGTGATGAGTGCGCATCATAGCTACCAGTCGAACAGTCACTTAGGCTTTTATAAATATAGATGAATGGCAAAGTACTTTGATAGGTTATTTTTTTGTGTTGCCTTTGAAATCTTTCCTAAAGTCTCTGCTTTTCCTTCTTTGTCATTGAAATACTTTTAATATCACCTATCATAAGAGCTCTCCACTTCTTATATGTTTTATTCAGGATCAAATAATTAGTATAAGGGAAAGATGGCGGGCCTTTAAGCTCTAAAGTTAATGTGTTTTCCACTATTTTGTGCTGCTTAACTGCCTTAGAATGTGAGCTCATCCTCTTAACTACTCACCCTACCCAGTGCAGGTACTCAATAAATGCTAGTTTATTTTCTACATAACTGAATAAAGTCCTTTAGAAGAGTTTTAAGAGGAACCCTTTCTTTATTAAGTGGATTTGGAGCTAATATATTGGCCAGGAGCTGTGTTTAATTTTGTAAAGTTTTAATTTTATGTTATAGCCTGGGGGAATAGGGAGCATGAAAACTTTTACAGTATTATATAGTGTTTGAGAAAACATTGTTAAAACTCCATGCATGTTTAAAAGTATGACCAAATGAGCTATGAACTCTCTCAAGAACATATTCTTTCTATTGTCAATATTTAATAGTGAGATTGATTCTATAGTTGAGAAAGATGTGGCTAAGTATAGACTTCCACAAATTCTTTCATCATGTACTCCAGTAATTGGCAGGCCTATGGCTAAGCTATTTAAAAAGATTAGTTTAAAACTTTTGAAGCTGAATTTGTAACAAACATGCCACAGTTTTCATATCCAAAGAAGTGCTTGCTGTCTCATTGAAAGCACTTACTTTGAAAGCTATCAGGAAAGTTTCTGTTTCTCAGAATGGTTTCAGAATTGCTTTTGTTCATTATTTTTTAATTTTTCAATCATTTGACATACAGTATTATGTTAATTTTAGGTATACAACATAATGATTAGACATTTATGTAACTTATGAAGTGATCCCCGGATAAGTCTAGGACCTATCTGACTCCATGTGTAGTTACTACAATATTATTCACTATATGCTACGTGTATTTTATATCCCATGACTGTTCTTATAACTAGCAATTTGTGCTTCTTAATCCCTTCCCTTTTTTCACCTATCCTCCAGTCCCCTCCCATTTGTCACCCATCGAAAATTAGAATTCCTTTTGGAATTAAAATCAGAGCCATCACATAAGCTTTTTATTGTCATCAGTCTCTGCCAGTCTTTGGCCTTTGAGGGTAATTATTTTATGGAAACAACATTAAAAAGTAAGGTGAATAAAGTGTACACTCAGGTTAAAACAGCACGCAACTCTGAAGTCAAGAAACAGGACTGTGTTGTTTGTTGGTTTGTTTTTATCATAAAATCGAACACTTAAGACAAACAAAAGTTCCCAGTAACTTTTCAAGCACCAAACATTCATCATAATAACTGCAGGACCAGGAAGGACTGTGTTGGGAGCAGATGGAGGACTGATCCACATAACTCGATGCTTACAGATGAAGTTTTAAAGGAAAGTATGCTAAACACATCTCAGTTTATTGAATAAAGATTATAAAGGGATAATCTTTTCTTTTTAAATAGTAACTACTTCTGTAAGGAAGCAACTTTCTTTCTTTCATTGGCCCTCAATGTATAGCCCAGGCTACCTAGGTGGTACTCAATTCTGCTGTTATCGCTTAGTTTAGTTGTAGTCATAACTACAAGCAAATCCCTACTTTTTGAGTTTCCCTTTTCTTGTCCTCAAATGAAAGGTTTAGACAGGTGCTACCTATTGAATCTTTTCAGGTAGGGAAACTTAATCTTTTCCCCCTCTGTCTATGGATAGTTGTACAATGGAATGCATAGGAGTATGTCATCTTTTGTTTTAAATATCCCTCATTGAACTGGCTGTTACTCAAAAACCATGCTTTGCTCTTGGAATTGTCATAATCCAGTGAAGAGCAAACATACTTCAAGTAGTACAAAGTAGTTTGTTGGAGCGAAAGAGGTTCATCCTACCTTGACTACCAAAGAATTCTCTTGTTATTTATTTACCTCACCTGAACCACAAGAGTGTGAACAATGACATACTGGTAGACTACAAGTGACAGTAAAAATAGGATCAGGAAAATTACAAGATAAGAAATCAAATGCAGAGGAACAAAAGAACATAGATTTGGCTCTTGGCTTTCACAGTTTAAAAGGAAATTATGTGGTGGTTATTTCAAAGATGAGAAAAGTGACATCCCGGGAAAGGTAAAGAATTTGTTTAGCACTCAGTTTGGAAAGAATACACAGGAAGGCTGGGGGCTTTACAAGTAATTACCGCGCAGCTGCAGCAGTCTGAAACATCTAAAAAAGAGTTAGCATGTGCTTTTACCTCCTAAGCAACACTGATAGTCATCTCTGGGTGAGGAGAAGCAGGAATTAAGTTAATGATCCTCTCTGGGAAAGCTGGTTAGTAGTTTAGAACGCTTTCCTGGATGGAAAAGGGTGTTAGATTCAGAGTTACTTGTGTTCTGATCAACCCTGTTCTGTTCTCCAGCCAAAAAAGAAGAACATGTCGGCCTACCAGGTGTTCTGTAAGGAGTACCGCGTGACCATCGTGGCTGACCATCCCGGCATAGGTAAGAACATTGCTCATCTTCGTTTCCACTTTCCACATGCGCCTCGGAAGCAGGGCAGTTAATTCAGTCAGGAGGCAGCTTCTCCCCTAGTGTTAAAGGAACCCAAATCTCATTTTTTCCCGCAAATCTGCAAGTCACTCTAGATTTTGTCTTAGTTCACCCCAACCATAAAAGTGATAAGCTTTTCATTTATATCTCTTAAGTTCATAAAATGGAAAGCAGTAAAATTAAATATTATGAAGCTCAGTACATAAATATGCACCTGCTATTTCCAAGATTCTACAGTTGGCCTTTTCCTTAAACTGCCCTTGGGTGTGCAGTTGTGAGATGACTTATACTGTCACATTTGTCTGTGTATTAGAAGTTAGTGAGGTGAGAGAAACACTGCACCACAGACCTTGGACAGGCACTTAACCTCCATAAATCTGATTTGCCTGAGATGTAAATAGTTTCCCAAATTTCTCATCACGGTGCTGGGAGGCACATAGCAGATAAGAACGCGCTGTGCAAAGCCTGACCTTGCCGGGCACGTGCAAGGGCAGCACACGCCTCTGGAGGATGCTTCTCAGCGGCCGCAGGGAAATTCTTCTTGGTACCGAGCTCTCAGAAATTCAGGAAAAATCTCACATCCTTCCTCAACCTCTACAGCACATATTTTCTTTAACCTAAGTTGATAAGCCCTGGATTGTGGGATCGAATTCAAAGACACCAGAAAGATGCTTAACGAACAAATCCCTAGAGAGGAGATGCGAGAGGATTTGAGTCCACCTCATGACCACCGCAGGGGTCCCTTCCCTATAAAAAAGAATCAAGAAAACTGGTGGGCCCTAGTTGGTTTGGCTCAGTGGATAGAGCATCGGCCTGTGGACTGAAGGGTCCCTGGTTCGATTCTGGTCAAGAGCACATGCCCAGGTTGCGGGCTCGATCCCCAGTTGGGGGGCGTGTGGGAGGCAGCGATCAATGATTCTCTCTCATCATTGATATTTATCTCTCTCCCTTCCTCTCTGAAATCAACAAAAATCTATTTTAAAAAAGAAAACTGGTGGGGTTTGGTGTGGGTTGGTTTGGTTTTCTGGAAGAATATTGTGCTATTTGGATCTGATTTTCAGAAACGTTTCCCAGTTTTTGCTCTCATCAATCTTCTGTTTTGTTGATAGTTAAACCTTTATTTTATTGAGCTTTTTACTATTTTTTGCCAGATTTTGGGGAACTTAGTAAAAAACTGGCTGAAGTGTGGAAGCAATTGCCTGAAAAGGATAAACTGGTAAGTACACTTTTTTACAAACATATTTTTTTAATTGCTTGATGCCTTCTAAAATGTATGATTCTCCCATAGACCACCCAGGCAAAGAACACTGAAATAGCGAAACAATGACAAGTCGATGGAAAAGGGCTTAGTAAAGGGCATTAACTCTGGTTGGTGCCAGTGTACTCTGGGTAAAATTTAGCTGCACGGAGCCTGTTTTTTCTAACCTCTTCTAATTTTTTTTTATTTTTTTTTTGCAACAGTCTTACATTTGAGCCAAAAGATGACCTAACTTGGACAGTGATAAAACTGTTAAAAGAAAAAATCCTTTTACTACAAACACCTACTAGTCAGCCCATGGTCTGAGAAGTGAGGAAAGGCATCCACTTAATAGTCACTGCAAATAACAAAACTATGGGACTATGTTTACTAGGGAGCCAGGTTCCAGGCCATCATCCTCATCACCCACTACCAGATAATGTCCCGTACTGTGAAGAAGCTAATGAGACTGTGATAACTAGTCATGACTGAGTCATAGTCACTTTCCAGTAGGCTGATACGAAGGCGGTCTAGGAATTAGAATTACCATCGTGCTTTAAGGTATAGCTCATCTGGGTAAAACAACCAAAATATTTCTGACCTAGGTAATTTTCTTTAGTTTCTATTTTTCAGGTCAATGTTAGCCTACTATTGGTATTGCCAACTAGCAAGTTAGAAGAAATATTTAAACCACATGGACATTATACCGAGCCAGATGTTTACTCCATGATTTTACATTGTGATCTTAGAGATCTAAAATCAGTGCTGAGATCTGACCATTAGCGTTGAGGAATGTTTTTAGTGCTCTAAGTTCGGACAGCAATCCGTGTCTGTGCCTGACAGTGGCCCTCCGCTTGAGAGTTAGCATCAACCCTCTGCACTGTCCCCTCTCGTTTCTTTATTTTACTCTTCCATGACTGCTTTCCCTTTTACTTTTACTTTTTGATTGATTTTATTTCCCCCGGATCTGATTGCAGATTTGGAAGCAAAAAGCTCAATATCTGCAACACAAACAAAACAAAGCAGAAGCTACAACTGTGAAAAGAAAAGCATCCAGCTCAGAAGGCTCCATGAAAGTAAAAGGTAGTGGCCACATCCCTCTCCTGCTTTGCTTTTGCCCGGAGCACTGTAAATTCTGCTGCCTCTCTGAGGAACTGGGAGAGCAGCCTACATTAGAAGCAGAGCTTGATACCCAGGTTTTATTACTGAGCATTACAGGTTGAAAAGGCATTTAGAAAACATAAATCAGAAGTCAGCAAACTTTTTTGGTAAAGGGCCAGAGAGAAAATATTTCAGGCCTTGCAGGCCCAAGTGCTTTTTCTGTGACATATTCTTTGTTTTATCTACAACCGTTTAAAAACATAAAATTATTCTTACCTCGAGACCATACAAAAACAGGTCATGGGCCAGATTAGGCCCACAGTCCATAGTTGTGCTAATACCTGGCATAGCTCCCAAACAGGGAAAATCAGGAAGGGCATTTTTGTGGTGTTCAAGGCCATAGGAAGCTTGGTCTCTCTATTTCGTCTCTGTTCTCAGCTTCCTCTGCAGGAGTGCTGTCACCCCAAAAGAAGTCCCCGCCCACCACCATGCTATTACCAGCCTCCCCAGCCAAAGCCCCTGAGACAGAGCCCATTGATGTTGCTGCTCATCTACAGCTGCTGGGAGAGTCCCTCAGCCTCATCGGACACCGCCTGCAGGAAACAGAGGTGAGCATAGCCGTCCACAGCGTGACTCCAGTGTCGGATAGAATTTGAGTTCATCCATTCGTTCCACATAGATGCATTGAGCAGCTGCTGTATGCTAGATTATGCCAGGTGTTTAGGATGCAGTGATAAAGAAGACATGTAGTCATAGAAACATCTGGAGATTTGGAATCAAAGTTTACACTAACCCCATCCTATTGAAGCAGCGGCACAAAAAGAAATTCGAATAACCTGTACTTTTCCCCCAGCTTTATTAAGATACAATTGACATATAACTCTATAACTTACTATTTTTTAAATGCAGTGGGAAAACTGAGTACAAATCCCATGGAAGTTTTGATTACTTGTAGTTCTAAGACAGTTTGAGTTTTTCTGTACATTTCCAGCAAGGTCTTCAACAGATGGATTAGGTTGTATGGAGGATTAAGAGTTCCTCTACTTTTTTTCCTCTCTCTTTCTGCCCCCCTCCCCCCCCCCCCCCCCCCGGTTGAATTTATTGGGAGACACCGGTTCATAAAACCATACGGGTTTTAAAATAAAATAAAAAATGAATAAATTAAATCTTTTTTAAAAAGAGTTCCTCTATGAGAATAGGTAGCAAATAGGGAAATTGAGGTTCTTAAGCTCTTCATTACTCTGCGCTGTGATTGAATTACACAGTGCAGTGTGCCCTTGGGAGATCTTGGTCCTTTTCAGTTTCAAAATCACTTAACCTGCAAAGCTGTCATATTCCATTTCTATTACCATATTCCATTTCTAATTGTATTGCCCCCTTGGCTAACTCAGCATAGTATTTCAGTTTTCCACTGGGTTCTACTAGTGGAGCAAAGAAATCAGTCTCAGCCACTAAAGCTATTTTATTTTATTTTTTTTAATATATTTTATTGATTTTTTACAGAGAGGAAGGGAGAGGGATAGAAAGTCAGAAACATCGATGAGAGAGACACATCGACCAGCTGCCTCCTGCACACCCCACACTGGGGATATGCCTGCAACCAAGGTACATGCCCTTGACCGGAATCGAACCTGGGACCTTTCAGTCCGCAGGCCGACGCTCTATCCACTGAGCCAAACCGGTTACGGCATAAAGCTATTTTAAGCTGAAAAATCAGTGTAGGAATATAGAACCATTAATTTGCTTCTATGTGCAAGTTGAATCATTATTCAACAAATAAAATGCCAATGGCCAGAAGATCTAAGTTCTTTGACTAGTTTAAAAAACGTAGCAGTTAGAAGTTAGACATAGTCTACTCTAGATGTCTAGATATGGCAAAACAACTAGAGTCCTTTCATGTAGGCTGATGTCTGAATGGCTGTAGATACTCATTTAGACGTTGTATATTTTCTAAAAAGTTAGAATTTAAAATGATAGCCATATTCCAGATTTTTCTTCATATTTCCATTTAGTTTAACAAGTATTTGTTGAGGATAATGCATTACTTATAGAAAACCTGAATAGCTTCCTTATTATTTCCTACCATCAGGAAACTTCCAATTTAATTGGAAAAAGAGAATATAAATTAGCAAATTATAAGAAGCCAGCTTCTGTGAGCAGTTGCTGAGTTACACATACATCATAACCAAAAAAGGGAAAGAATTTTGCAGAATCTCTAGTCTGGTTTTTTTATATAACAGTCTAATTGAGATGTAACTCACCTACCATAAATTCACATTTTAAAAAGTTAGTGGGCATTAGTATAGCCACAGAATTGTGGCCCATTTCTACTACCTATTTCCAGAACATCTCCCTTATCCTTTAAAGAAGCCCCATTGCCTGTAGCAGTCTTTCCCATGTACCTTCTACTCCATTTTTTCTGAGACTTTAACATCTGCATATATCCTCACAATTAGGATGCAGTTTTCATGTACCTCTTATACTGTTATTTACTTTATGTTTTTATTTAAAGAAATCTGTGCATGCTTTCACAATATCCTCAATCTCATGAATGTGATATTCTTTTTTTTCTAATCGTCAAAATGGATTCTATCACTGTAATTAATGTTCACCTATATGCCACCTGAAATTACATCCTACACTTTAAGGAACATTGATTTTATAGGATTTGCTCATTTAAAGATTGAATGCCTGAGGCCTAATTGAATGCAGTGACTAGTACCAGTTTACACAACGATTTGTGACCGAGCCCAGCTTGCGTCACTTCTAACCTGTCCTCATTCCGTTGTTCTGTGCCTGCTGAGGCAGACTAGTGATGGAGAACAGAGAGAGGTGGGGAGTGAGAGGCTCTGGGAGGGGGACCTGAAAGGCTAGATAGCTGAGTTTGTCTCATGGAGATGTTGGAGAGAGATTCCAAACAGGAAAACTGAGGACATCTGTTTCTAACCTCAGGGTCTCCCACAGAAACAGGTTAAATGAGGCCTGGTAAGACCCCCCACCCCCACTTTAACCAGATCTTTTAGCTCTTTTGTATATTGGGGTCCACATACAGTTTGTGTGTGTGTGTTTTTTTAATATGTTTTTATTGATTTCAGAGAGGAAGGGAGAGGGAGAGATAGAAACATCAATTAGGAGAGAGAATCATTGATTGGCTGCCTCATGCACGCCCCCTACTGGGGATGGAGCCCGCAGCTTGGGCATGTGCCCTGACCAGGAGCGGAACTGTAACCTCCTGGTTCATAGGTCTGCCCTCAACCACTGAGCCACTGCAGCTGGGCCAGTAAGTGTTTTTAAGAGCTTACTGTATGGGCAACACCAGTAGTTATTGGGAGGCTATAAAAAGGAATAGGACATGGTTCTGCCCTCAAGTTGCTTATAATCCATCAGGAGAGTCAGTATTCTATTACAGTTGTATAAAATATTATCTATAATTAACTGTGAGGCAAAAGTAGTGGAATAATATTACTAATTTGCTAATTTTCTTTGAATGGTTACTCAACCAGCTTTGGTTCAGAGTGCTTTATAGGGATTCCTTCATTTAATTCACACTGCGGCTTCCTGAGGCAGAATTTTTGTTCCTCCGATTTTACAGAAGGAAATAAACAAAACAGAGACTTAGAGGTTAATTAACTAGGTGGTGAAGCAGAGCTTGAATTTGGTCCATGCTCTTCACCCCATCCCGCACTGCCTCCCATGGAAGTGAGCGATAGGAAACACTAGGCCAGAGGGTTAGGGGAGGGAAAGTTGGTGCTGGCAAGGCCTTGACACTAGGCAGTTGTATAAATGGTGGTGGTTTCAATAGGAGAAGGGTCCCTTTTTCTCATTGTAGTGCAGTGAAATTGAGAAATGTCCAAAATTAAGAGGCCTAGCAGGCAGCTAGAAATGCAGTTTTGGAGTCTCAGTTGTTGGTAATAGTAATAATTACTGATACTTTTGAGCACATATCATGAACCAGGCACCAAGCCAAGTACTTCTGTCTGTTGTCTCACTAATCCCCTCTGTGCTGCAGAGCTGTTCGTGGTCTACTTTATGGGTACAGCCTAGGAAGCAGCTTGCCCAGTACAGAAACAGTGAGTGGACTAGCCCAGCAGGCCTGGCCGAAATCAGTCTGGGCAGGACCCTGCTCTGCAGCCTCCAAGGAGATATAGCCTCACAGCACTCCTAGTTGAAGCGGATTATACAAGAGCTGGGCAGGGGTATTTGCAGCAAGCAGCCTTATTTCTTATCTCTGAATCACAGAGATACAGACAACATGAATTATTTAAGATGTTAAAAGGGACTACATTTTCTTCATTTTGAGAGTAAACAAATCAACCCAGAAAAGTGATACCAGCTATCAAAGGCCACATACATGGAGAAGTATGTGCATGTTTATATTGCATGCTAATGTGTAGGGCTGTAGAAGTCTCACAGTTGTTGCATTTGAGCTGTATCTGTGGCCTCATAAGAAAAATGTTTTTGCATGCCTGACCTCCGCAATCTTCCCAGCCGCTCTCCAGAGTAGGCAGGGCATTTATTACTATTCCTAAATATAGGCTTTTCCCCCTACTATTCAAGACTAACCCAAAGTTGGATAGAGGGTAAGATGAGTAAGGAATATAGCAAAGAAACCTGTGATTGTATTGTAAAAGTTTTCTTTTTAAACAACTTAGAGTTATCAAAGCAGATACCTTCCAATTTTGCTTCGTTTCCTAGTACTGCCTAAGACTTAAAGAAAGTGAGGAAATGGCCCTAGCTGGTTTGGCTCAGTGGATAGAGCATCGGCCTGTGGACTGAAGGGTCCTGAGTTCAGTTCCAGTCAAGGGCATATGCCTGGGTTGCTGGCTCAATCCCCAGTGGGGGGTGTTCAGGAGGCGGCCAATCAATGATTCTCTGTCATCACTGATGTATCTATCTCTCTTTCCCTCTCCCTTTCTCTCTGAAATCAATAAAAATATATTTAAAAAAAAAAAAAGAAAGTGAGGAAATGAACCACACGAGGAGGGAGCATCAGGAGTGGGGTTCCCGTTACAACCGATGCCCCTCTTGTGCTCTCCCTTCCAGGGCATGGTGGCTGTGTCTGGCAGTTTGTCAGTGCTTCTGGATTCCATTATCTGTGCGCTCGGCCCCTTGGCGTGTCTGACCACACAACTACCTGAACTGAATGGCTGTCCCAAACAGGTCTTGGTGAGTTTTCCTTGGAGTTTTGGAGCCAGAACCCTTGGGAGCCAGAGAGGCCCTGTCTTAAAGAGCTCTGTCAGGCACAAGTTCCTATGGTTGCCTGGCATCTAGCATATAGGCTCCCTCCACCTATGGGCCCAGGAACGTGATACTGAGTAACTCGCTGAGTGCATGCCATGCTTTCAGTGAAACCAAACATGCCATCCCCTAAAATAGTCCTGTGGAGGGAAGCATTCTAGCCCTTGAGGTACTGCAACACCTGTGTCTCCTGTGTGTTCCACACTGAGACGTACAGGAGTCTTCTGCCTCCTTTGTCCTTGTCAATGGGAGAAGCCAGCAGAAAACCCTCTAGCATAACAGACACAGGATGCCATCTTCACTCTCCCCGTTTTCTCACACTCTGGTTTTTCTTTCTCACCTCTGTCCCCTGAACAAAGAAATAGGTGTCAGGGAACCAAGGCTTAGTACTCTGCCGTTGAACCTTTCCCCCTTGTTTTGCAGGCAAACACACTAGACAACATCGCTTACATCATGCCTGGACTGTGACAGCAGAGAATCCTGGGACGGAAATCTTGTCCTACCCCATTGCTGGTTTGTGTATATATGACCGTTCCAGATCCCTTCACTAGCCACTGGGTGTAGGTTTTAAATTTTTATATACATACACATAAATATATATATATAATGTACAATATATACATAGGATTGTAACTACTTCGCTTTTAATAATTTTATGAAATGGCAAAGGTTTAGCCAAGAGGAAACCTTGGCATGAAAATGGGCTTGGGATTCTTTTTTCTCCTGTGGTGGATAAATCTGCCTTAAAAATCAATGTTACTTGAGGGCTGGGGGCTTGTTCTGGGTGCCAAGTGCATCTCTTTATGGACAGCTAAAATGTGATTTTTTTCCCCAAGCTCAGTTGTACCTCCAGACTCATCACTGACCATTTGCCTTACCTGTCTTACAGTCTGAAATGTAAGAGGAAAGATTATGGGAAGATGCCAGTTGACTGAGAGTGCTAAAGCCTTTCAACTTGAAGTGTCTTAGGTGGGAGCTGATAAAATCGTTCCTGTCTGAGAGTTATTGCGATGGCTTAGGTCGGCGGTTCTCAACCTGTGGGTCGTGAATCCCTTTGGCGGTCCAATGACCCTTTCACAGGGGTCGCCTAAGACCATCCTGCATATCAGATATTTACGTTACGATTCATAACAGCAAAATTACAGTTATGAAGTAGCAACGAAAATAATTTTATGGTTGGGTCACAACATGAGGACCTGTATTTAAAGGGCCGGAAGGTTGAGAACCACTGGCTTAGGTGAACCTAGTAGGGGGTTCAGCCCAGTTCCTGCGATACAGGTGTCCATGTCTCAGTGTATTGTAATCATTGGCAGCCTCGGTAGGGGCCAAGGAGTTTTGTGAGCCCTGGCAGCATAAAATGCCTTGAAGAGGGTAACGCTGTCGTGCCACCAGTTGAACTGCATACGTTGTGAGCTGACGCAGAGTCTTTGGCCTGCAGAACGAAGAGCTGGTATCTTCCATCTGGCAGCATTCGCTTAGCCACCAAGTCCGCACAGGTTCTGCTTAATTGCGTGGTGGCTGTGGAAGACGAACTTGGCCCAGTGGGATTCTTGGGTTCATCATATTGGCTCCCCTGGTGGGCAGATACAGTGTTCTGCATTCCACACATAAGTGAATTGCAAAAAAAGTAGTTGATTCTCATGTAGGTTTATTTATGTGCGCGTGTGAATGTTTTAATTATGTGTATTTAACTCTTTAAAATCTTAGATTTTAATTTATCCTGTAAATTTCTGTATATATAATTTAATAACAAAAGCCTCCACCAGCAACAGCATGTGGAAGATACAGATTGTTCTTTCTTCCTCCCTTCCCTCCTCTTAAAACTCCAAATCATCTGCATTTGAAGGTATTGTGCCTCAGAAAGGAATCATTATGTCAGGATTCTAGTTCTTTATAATTCAATAATGTGAAGAAAGTAAATAAAAAGGAATGTTTTCATTCCCAGCTGCCCTTATTTCCAAAGAACCAGACTTTTGCTTCCTAGATCCAAAGAAGACAGCTGAGCGCTTCAGGGTTCTTTTTAAATGTGTGAGCTTCCTGCCAGACACCAGCTCTGAGGGAACTTTCTTCCCCGGGCTCCACGGAGCTCCACAGCATCAAAGTAGAGGTTTGAGGACAGTGCAGCCAGCCCGCACCCTGTTGAATGCCTTCCCTTCTCCCCACCAGAGTGGTCGCGGGGCTGTTTCTTAATGGTATTCTGGCTGCTGAATGCCTTTCTCATCTCAGAGCAGTTTTGAGATTTAATTGGGGAAACAGAAGGAAAGGGGGATGTTTGGGAACCAAAATCAGGAACAGAAATCTTGTTTTGATTTTGTGTGTTAGAACCTGTACCATGCCTCATCTGTACCCACGGAGGTTTCCTGTTTGACACAGGTATCAAGGAGGGGCCTTGAAGACAGGGCTTAGTACCGAAAGAAGTCAGTCCTACCATGGTCATTTGTATACATTCATGAAATCCTGATGAGGACCTGCTTTTTGTTTGTTTTCCTTTAAAATCCAATCCTATTGTATTTGTATTTAAAATTTGTACACATTTGTATAATAACCTGTACCTTGTGGTATTTGGTACTATTAGAGAAAAAAACTTTGGATTCAGACCTTCTTGCAATTTTTATATCATTGTTTTATTTTTGTTTTTAAAATAAATCCTAGTGGTTTGATCCAAATTCCATTACAGTTGTATAAAGAAATAAAATTTTGTACTTATATTATTAAAAATCACATTTTTAATATTTATAGTCCAGTCTCAGCTATCTTTTCCCTGCTGCCAACCAAAGTTGCTCTGGAAGTATAAAACCTGTTTTTCACACTATATCCTACCATAATATTCTTTTTTTTTTTTTAATCCATCTAGAATAGAGGTCAAGTTTCTGATCTTAGCCATTTTCCTATCGTCTTGCTCTGTTTCTGTTAACTTTTACATTGTGGAGTCTCTCATGTTCTCTCTTTTGCAAACTACAAACCCAATGACTCTGATAAATATAGCTCTGGTTCATTGACAAATAAAATTGCATGTACATTAGTGTGTACACCTAACTCAAGGAAATACCAGTCTTGCGTAAGATTCACATCTGAATCATGTGTTCCAATATATTTCATGCTGTTTCAGTACTGTCTTGACTTAGTGATACTGGATCAGTCACTTAATCTTTATAGGCATCCGAAGTCCCATCTGTGAAACAATGTTCATGTCACTTCCCTATCTCTAAGCCAGAAGCCAGCCAGGCTGACATGAATGTTTAGAAATATTCTGAACATTTAATGTATAGAGACTTGACCTTCAGGGTGTAAAAATTTCAATGCAAAGACAAGGTGTTAATAGCCATAGATAGTGAAATACTATGGTTAAAAGGCTAACTTCTTATGGAGTAATTTGCATATTTTATCTCATTTAATCCTCCCACAAGCCTTATGAGTATTATTCCTCTTTACAAGTGAGGAGACAGATGCAGAAAGGTGCTTTTCCTAAGGTTATATGGCTATTAAATGGCAGAGCCAGAATAAGCACACTGGTATAGCTAACCCCAAAGCCTAAGCTCTCTTCTACCCGAAGCCACTTTCAAAGGTAAATTGTGTATGTAATTCATCAGAATCTTTCTTCAGTATTATCTATAGTATTTAGCAAATGTGACTGTAGGAAAACCTCTGAGACCTTTCATTGTTCATATGTCCTTTTGTCCTAGCTGCATTTTGTGATAACAGGCCTCACTTTTCTCATCATACTATTGTCTTTAAACTTTGGAGGCAAAGTATCGTGATTTTTGTCTACCAGTATATAAAGGATGGAATAGATTACATTACATTTATGCCATATGTCAGTCTTAAGGGACCTAAATATTTACCTTCAAGGAAGGCATTTGATATTAATAGTGCTAAAGCACTTAAAATGAAAAATTAAAAACTTACTGAGTTTGATTTTTCTTAGCAGACACACTTAAAACATAGTATTCGCCACATATTCTTAGCTATTGTGTTGACAAAATCCACAAACTTCCATTTCTAATTGAAAAGCTATGTAGTATTCTGTTTACATGGAGTTATATTCCACTCCCTGTTTAGGGGGCACTTGATTGTTTCTGCTTTTTTGCTATGAAGGATAAACCTTATGGCTGTTTTGTTCTTGGCAGTAAAGCCAAGATCTTCTCATAATCACTTTAAACCAGAGTGATGTAGGAAGGCAAGAACTTCCGGTAAATCACCCCACACAAACTAATGGAAGAATCCAAAGGAAGTTCATGCTAAATATACTCCATACAACCAAGCAATAATCTTAAATGAAGAAAAATATGGATGGTACCCGACATGAAGTTCATCTTCTCCTTATAGTCCAAAAACCATTACTGAAAGGTAGATTGACTTAAATGTTCCTGTTATTGTGCTGGACAACAGTGGTGAGTAAAGTAGACATAGTATTCCAGCCCTCATGAAGCATCTAGAGGGGGAAAGGCATTTATGAAGTCTCACGTGCATTATTAAAACACTTCAAAGCACAGCAGTCAGGACTTCCATTAAGTGTTTATATTGTAAAGAAATAGGCCGTTAAACAGGCTGACATCTGTTAAACAGGTTAACATGCGGAAGTGATTGTAAGTTCACAGATTTTCCATCATCCTAAATTTGTGCAGAGTCAGTTTACTAGCCTTTCAAGTTTAAGAATCACACACAGACAATTTGGTCAATAAATACTAACGCCGCATACCACCAAAGCAGTGGTTATTGGCTCTTTTGGAGTCTTTAGAAGAAAAAAACATAACCCATCGATCAGGCATCTAATGTAGGCGACATCTGAAACATGGCCCAGACAGGAAGGTTGAAGAACATAGAATTACAAAGCTGGGAAAGGTCTCTAAGCCTTAATTCTCAACTAGGGGTCAACAGCTGTGCTTCAGGGACCCCCAAACTCCCCGAAGTTATATTGGATCTCTGCCTTTTCAGAAAGGCTCGTGGCTTCAAATTCTCAAAAGAGCCTGTGACCTAAAAAAAAGCTGAGAGTCCTTGAACTAATTCCAGCATCCAGAGAAAATGGGAAGCTGTTCGAATCACTCTGTAAATTAATGGCAGAGATGGGTCCCAGGCACTGTTTCCGACTTCTGCGTGCTTTCTGCTACCTGGAGCGCTAGCCCGTCCCAAGCTGAATTTATTGGGTTGGCTCCCTGTCCAGGGAGCGCAAACTCCTGGCTCTTGTCTCCTATTTGAGATACGCGGCTACAAGCAGGCCTCAGCTTGCACCTGGGAGACCTCGACCTCAGATGGGAAGAGTCCTATTAGGACAGGAAGACAACAGGCCAGAGAGGGTATCTACCCCCTCGGTGGGTGTGCAGTCACCGTGACGTCCCAACGATTAACACATTTAAAAGTGAGCGCTGCGTCCGAGCTTGCTCTGTAACCTTACCCAAGTCACGGCTCTGCGCCGAGACCCGGTTTTCCAGGTGCGTTACGAGACCGTCAGGCCACGCCCCTAAACCTTAAATAAGCCTTGGGGGCGTGGCTTAGGGAGCCCCACGCCCCCAGGCCCCCTATCGCCCAACGTCGTGCGTGACGTCCGTCGACGGCCAGTGAGCCTCAGTGAGGTCACTGCCCTCCCCCTCGGAGTGCCGACCCTCCTCAGGGGTGGGGCCTGTGTCCAATTCCAGACTCGCTCCGCTCCGCCCCCACGGGCGCCTCCTCGCGGGCCAGCCGGCGCGTCACGTGACGGGTCGGCGGCGCTGGCGGTTGCTGTCAGCTGATATCACGGGTTGGTGGCAGCGGCAGCCGTGGCGATGGACTTTCTCCTGGGGAACCCGTTCAGCTCTCCGGTGGGACAGCGCATCGGTGAGTCCCCGGAGCCTCGCCCAGCCCTGCAGCGAGGCTCCGCGCCCAGCCTGAGCCCCCTCGGGCACCCGAGGTCCCCAGCCGCACACCGGAGGGAGGCCGGGAGGGGAACGAGGCTGGCGCGTCTCTCCCAGACCTGGCCCCGCCCCGTCTCCCGCCCCTCTTGATTGACAAAAACCGTGGCCCATTAGGAAGCCTCGCGTCGTGATGGGTGCCTACAACAGCCAGTAGGTAAAGAGAGAGGGCGGGTCCTCTCGCGGCTCAGCCAATGGACGGCAGCTGGGGTCGCGAATCCAGGGAGAAAGTTTGAAGGGTTAAAGGGACGACGTGGTTTTGCAGTGGTTGGTTCCCTCGGTGTGTCGTCGTCTCTTCCCCAACCCAGGGCGCGCCGCCGGGTCTCTGGCCCTCTCGTTCCTGGCTCGCCGGGCCCTCCAGACACAGATACCTGAGAAGGGCTAGAAGCCCATTCTCCTGGGATCGGAGATTGGGGCTTGGCGCCTGGGCGGCGACTTGTGGGGGCGGGGGGGAGGGTGCTAGGCAGCCCTGCCTCGGGCCCGGGCCAGACCCTGGGAGCCCGCTGGACGAGGCGGCCGGTTCTGGAGGCCGAGGTCTCGGGACGTGCCCTCCTGGGCAGCCCGCGCCCACCGGCATCAGCTGGACGCAGAGTGGCCGGCGCTCTGGGCTGGAAGTGGCCGTAGGAACCACCTGATCGCGCCTCCCGCGTCCCTCGGTGGGTGGCACAGCCCAACGGAGTCCAGGTCTCCTGACTCCCGATTCCCTGTGGACGGGAGACTTGCTGGTTCTGTGACGTTACCGCCCTTGCCTAGGTTTCCTCTCCTGTAATTAGGGGATCACAATGGCCCCTCTCTCCGTGGGGTGGTTGTGAAGATTGGCTCGTTAATTAGAACGGGTGCCCGGCTCCTTGCCAGTGCTATATAAAAGGAGGTCATGTTTATTACCATTGTTACTGAAATGCCAACAAGTGAGGCTCGGCGGGGCCGGGGGGGGGGGGGGGGGGGGCGGGGCGGGCAGGGCAGAGAGCGGTCCCTCGCAATGGCTGGACAGCAGGTCTCGTGGGTGCTCACTCCTGCGCACCCCATGGGAGGACGCACAGGCCGAGCCCCAGACAGCTGACACTCACCCGGGAACAGCCTGGCTGAGCCTCCTTGTTTCGTGAGGAAACCGCCGGCCGTTCAGTGACATCCTCTCTTCGCCTCTTGGCTGTTTTTCAGCCTGAAATCCAGACTGGGAACTTTGGATCTTGGATCTTGTAGGCAGAACTCTCTTTCCCTTCGTTCTGTCCTGGGAGCCAGGCCTCACTTAGGTCTGCGGACTGCTGAGCTCTGTTGTAATCGCCACCGTGGCTGTTAATGGCCCTTCCGAGGCGGTGTCATCAAACCTCCCCTAGAGGGTGTGGCGGCAGAGGATGTGCTCACCGGAAGCTCCTGGACCGGGGAGGGGGCCTGCCCGCTCAGAACCACCGCCCCCCCCCCACTGCTCCCCCCCCCCCACCAGCACACCCCCAGGGAGTCACTGTTTGGGAGCTGAAAAGAGAACGCAGCTCTCCTTTCATCTCTGTTTCGCCAACTACAAATGGGGCTGCTTTCAACACATGCCAAGTGTGAGACGCGCTACTTTAAAAAAGAGAGTCTGGCCAAGTCAGCCACATCTTCCCGAGGCTTTCTAGAGAGGCTCGCCTGGACTCGGGCCTCGTGGTCAGAGAAAACAGCTTCTCTTCCTACGCTCAAGCGTGGCCTCCTTGGGCAAGAAAGACTATCCAAGTCATAATGCCTTAAAGCACAAGCCAAGTGTTGCTGCGGGAGGGGCCCTTACCCTGGGGCTCGTCTAACGCTAACCCTTATGGCAGGTGGGGCCCCACCCCAGAGGTCTGGGGCAAAGCCCTAGAATTGGTATTTCTAACGAGGTCCCAGGGGATGCTGATGACACTGGGTTGGAAACCACATACTGAAAATCTCTACTCCAGCCCATCGCCTTCATTTTTTAAAAATATGTTTTTATTGATTTCAGAGAGAGGAAGGGAGAGAGAGAGAAACATCAATAACGAGAGAGAATCACCGATCGGCTGCCTCCTGCACTCCACCAACAGGGATTCGAACCGTGACCTCCTGGTTCATGGGTCGACGCTCAACGACTGAACCACCCCGGCTGGGCCCATCGCCTTCATTTTACACAGGACACTGAGGCCCAGAGAGGGGAAGCTGGAAAGTGTGACTCACCCGGATCCCAGTGAAATGATAGGAAAGCTCAGATGAAATCCCCAGAGCCACTGAGGTTTGCACCAAAGCAGAAGAAGCTATAAAAGTAAAATTAAATGAAGAATATCAGCCATTGAGTTAATGCTCTCAGTATTCCATATTTTTTCTTTTAGATAAAGAAGCAGAAGTACCACCGATATCTGTGATTATTGGTGCCCTAGTTTTAGCTGCTTGTATTTCTGTAAACTGCAGGAGTGAAATAATCTCAAGGCTGCCAACTCCGTCCCTGTTGAGAGTAGAGCCCCGTAGAATTGGCGTCCCCAGGCACAGTGGTTCTAATGGTGTTCATCAGGGGTACCACTCACAGAGCTCCGGTGCTGCTCCCTCACCCTGCCCCTCTGTGCACCCTTCCGACCCCAGGCATCGTCACCTCACCCTGAGGTCTTCTCTGACCCCTTCAGGTCCAGCCATTGCTTTTGTGCTCTCTCAAAAGCACCCAGCGCTCAGGCTCCCTCGCTGTCTGCCTTTGCGCTTGAGCTTCCGCTTCCTCGGCGGTGGAATGGTGGTCATACCAGCATCTACCTCTCAGGGTGGGTGTGAGAACGAAGTGAGATATCCCTGGAGAGAGCCTGGCACCTTGCCGGGGGGCGTGAAACCGTAGCTCTTGCTGTCACCATCATCATTTGTATTATTTCCATCATCATCACACCAGCAGGGCACTGTCCCATTATGTTAGGGGAAAAGGAAGGTAACAGTTTGTGAGCAAATACCACGTGCCAGGTGCCATGCTAGTCTCCTCAGTATAACTCTTCACTGTGGCCCTATAAGAGATGCCTATCTTTCCCCTTTTCACCAAAAGTCTAAGGGAAGGTATCACTGCCCGAGGCCTCACAGCTCATCAGGTGGGAGTCCGGACACAGAGCCAGGCTCCTCTCTTGCATCCTCATCACGCTGTCTCTGGCTGACCACTGCTTAGTTGAAATTTACATCAGTCCCACCCTTCAAGATCCACAGTTACTGTTCTACCTACAGACTAGCTTTCCCGGCTGTGACTCACACAAGGTTCTGGCCGGTTTCCAGGTCACTCTCCCTCACCTGAGAGTAGCAGACTCCCCAGGAGCGCAGGCTGTGGCTGGAAGGATCTGGGAGAACTAGGACTAGGCAGTGTTGACACAGCCGCCTTCTTCCAAGGATTTCAAAACCTTTCCCAGGTATTCTCTGAGGACCCATCTCACTGGCCACATCTTAGAGACAGACGTCAGAGGGCAACCCACCAATCCATTTTCAATTTCTGGCTGTCACCTCACCGCTGGTCTTTGAGCCAGAGACCCAGCGGACTCATGAAAGCAAGCGGCACACCAGCAGCGACTGTAAATGTGGGCACCCTGGGGACCAGCCCCCAGTCGTCAGGGTAGGGGGACGGGTAGCTGGATGTGATGGGAGATCTCAGAGCCTAAGGCTGAACCCTGGGGTGGATGGGAGAGCTGCTCTTGGAGCCACAAAAGCCGAGCCACAAGAAGGAATCGTGGACAAGAGACCACAGGTGTCCACTAGGGAGAGCATACCTCGGGCCCTCTGGGATGCCATTTTGGGAGTGATGAGCTGAAAACCAAACTGGACGCTCAAGCAACGTTGTCGAGGGGCCACCAGGCTGGGAGGCAGGAACCCTGGGTCCAGCTCCAGCTCTGTCCTGCCACGCTCCCTCTGCATCTCCCGCACCCTTGTCTGTCAAGTAGCAGAGCCACCTGCTGTTCTCCCTGTTCCCCAGGGGATCGGTGGGGAACAACTGAGGGGACAGGTGAGGACAGGGAAGGATTGATACCAGAGGGAAGAGAGGAACTGATGGCCATTGTGGAGGAATGACAGGGCTGATTCCACAAGGCTCAGAGAGAGTCCAGTGCCAGCACAGATAGCTGTCCCTACCACCTTTCAGAGATGGAACTGGCTGCCTGGCTTGGTAGTGAGCTCCCCACCACTGGAGGTGTGAAAGCAGAGGCCAGAGGGAAGGGACTGTAAAGATGAGTCCCGCATTGGCTGGGGGGTGGACTAGGCCAGTCTCTGCAGACTTTTCTGTAAAGGATCAGTAGTAATACTTCTGGTTTTGTGGGCCATTTGGCCTCTGTTGCAACTACCCAACTCTGCCGTTATTTTACAGAAGCAGAGGCAGCTGCATCTGTCCATGAATGAACGTGACTGTGTCCAAACAAACCTTAGTTATGGACACTGAAATTTGAATTTCATGTAATTTTCACATCATGAAATATTATTCTTTGGATTTTTCCCAACTATTTAAAGGTGTAAAGACCATTCTTACTCTGATTGGCCCTACAAAAACACTGCATTTGGCACATGGGCTCCTAGTTTGCAGGCCTCTGGGTCAGACCAGCTGGCCAGAGACAGAACGTTGGAAAACAGTGTCTTCAAAGTGGGGGCCTGGGGCGCCCACATCAGGGATGCTTGAGGTCACTCCAGCCGTGGGCCCCCTGAGTCAGAATCTCTACCCCTTCCCACAGCTGCCAGGAAGCTCTGACTCCTTGATCTCCAAGTGCTGGAGCCAAAGTCTGTCTTCAGGGTCACAGGGAATGATGTCGAGAAAGGGCTCTTGAGTTAAGTTAAGCACCTCTCTGTGCTTCAGTTTCCTGCCTATAAAATAAGGATAATAATAGCACCTGTTAGTCGGGGTTGTTGTGTTGTAATGTTGTGAAGCATTTGGCACGGTGCCTGCCAGACTATACGTGTCCATAATTGTTAGCCAGTGTGGTTTTCATTGGTGGATCATCATTGCTGGGGCACAGTCTGGGTTAGTGGCAGAGCCAGGGTGCCAACCCGGGGCCCTGACTCTCGTGCAGCCTGTGTCGGTCTCGGCGTCACTGAGAAAGAGCAGTCACTGGCTGGGTGGCAGCCACATTCACAGGTCAGGTTTCAGGGTGTGGGGAGAGCCGATTCTCCCTTGGGAATTGGAGCCTTTGACTGCCCCTGTGGATGGAGCTGATGAATAGGTTTTGTTCCCTCACTGAGCTCAAAGAAATAAGAGTAGAGTCCCGGATTTCCGCTCTTTTGATTTTAGGGGGAAAAAAACAAAATCCCTCAGTGTCGTCTATGGGGCCATCACCCATGAGCAGCAGGAGGATTCAGGACCAGTTAACTCCTTACCTCCTCGCCCAGGGCTGTGGATCCAGGCTAGGCTCTCCAGGCTCCTCCTTCGGGCACCACCTGATGGCAATAATATCTGCCCCAGGCTGCCTTCAGTTTTATTTTCATGGTGTTTTCCTTTTGTTGGCTCACCTTTTTAAATTCGGCCTCTTCCTGTGTAATTATACCCATGAAATCATTACTTTGATGAGTTAGTTCATGCTCTTTTCCTAGTCCACATTAAATTGAATATTTAAGTCTAGAAATGTCTTTAAATGTACCCGTGAGACCATCTAACATGATCCTGTGTAGCACATTTCAGATGTAAGCAGTCTGAGTAGGGTCAGAACCCAGACTTCTGTGTCAGAACATCTGGGTGTAAATGCCAGCTCCACCCTTCCTAGCTGTGTCCCCAGGCAGGTGACAAAGCCTCCCAGGGACTGATGCCTTGATGGACTGTGGGAACCTGGCAGTTGATGGAGAGCCAAACTGCTGTGCAGGCCCCAAGGACAGAATGGGCTTCGCTCCTGGTGGGGCAGGTAGAGCAGGGAGGAAGGGAGGGGGGAAGAGGGGCAGGGGGCCAGCCAGACCGCAGGAGGCTGACAGTGGAGAACTGAAGGACAGACGGAGTTGTCCCCTGTTGGAGTGGAACTTGTTTGCATTGGTTACTGTAAACCCCTGGGGTGGTTAGCTTTATGTGCAACTTAGCTGGGCGATGGGACCCAGATATTTGGTCAAACTTTATTCTAGATGTTTCTGTGAAGGTAGTTTTTAGATGAGATTAGTGCTGAGGAAAGCAGATTACCCTCTGTAGTGGTGGGCCACAGCCGGTCCGTTGAAAGCCTTAATAGAAGAAAGACTGGCCTCCCCGAAAGAGGGAATTCTGCCAGGCGACCTTTGGGCCTGAGCTGTGCCTGTTCCCTGGTGTCCAGCCCGCAGGCCTACTTGTAGGTTTTTGACTTGATCACAGAGCCAGTGCGAGAGAGAGAGAGAGAGAGAGAGAGAGAGAGAGAGAGAGAGAGAGAGAGAATCTTTCACACACAGGTTGGGGGAGGAAAAAAGAATGTCACATACACCTCGGCCAGCCACTTCAAGCCTCTGCTTCACAGCCTTGCTCTCTCTTATCTGGATAGGCTTTTAAAACCCTCCTTCACCTGCCCTGGCTGGTGTGGCTTGGTTCTTGGGTGTCCTCCCGTGCACTGAGGGTTGCTGGTTCAATTCCCGGTCAGAGCACGTGCCCAGGTTACAGGCTCAAACACCAGTGCGGGACATGTGGGAGAGCCAGTCGATATTCCACTCTCCCCCCTCCCCCCTCTCCCTTCCTCTCTCTCCAAACATTAATAAAAAAACAAAAAACTCCTTAACCTGAGATAATTTTCATTTGGGTACTACAGTTGTTACATCAACTGGGACATTGGGGGCTGTCTTTGTAGAGTATTTTAGGCTTCCTCTTGCGGCCTGTGGTTACAGAAATGGCAGGGGAGAGGCAGCCAGGGTTTGAAGAAAGACTGCTCAGCAGCTTAGGAAACGGGTGCAACTTTCCAAGCCCGGTCTGGAAAGGGCTGTTAGTTTGAAAAGTTGGCTTCAAGACAGTTTTGCTGGGGAGGGGCGTGGGGGCAGAGGGGGGTGGTCTGCATTTGTAGTCGAAAATGTTTGTTTTAGTGCTTGCTGTGTGCTAGATAGGAGACCAAGCATTTAAAGTGCGTTCTCTCATTCGCGCTCACACCGCCCTGCAAGGTGAGTGAGTGCCTTAGTCCCATTCCGCAGGGGAGGAAGGGAGGCCCAGACGACTGACTCCCGGCACACCCCTGGTGAGGACTTGAACTGGGATGTGTCTGTGGCCAGATCCCACACCCAAACTTGGCTACCTCATTGCTTCCCCACAGAACTGAAGGGACCTGCTGGATTTCCTTTTGAGTGAAAATGTCTGGGTCCATCTAGATTCTAGAACAAGTGTGTTCATGATGGTTCTCATGATGGTTCTGTCTATGTTTCCCCCGTCCTCCACCCCCTCCCACCTTTAGCACATGGTTTCATCCCGGTGCTTGCCTCCCGGAACAGGAAGCACAGGCAAGGCCCCAGCTGCAGCTGCCAAAGGAATTCCACGTTTGTCTCAGGGGCCAGCGCAGGGTCACAGGGTCACAGGGCCACTCCTGGCTGCGAGGAGACTAGAAAAGCTAAACACCATGGACCAGGGGAAAGTACCTTCACGACAGACTCTTGGAGTCCCCTCCATGTGGTGGGGTTAATAAATATCTACTATAGTTCCAGGTGCCTTAATATAATACCATTCCAGCGTGAGCAGGTAAGCAAGTTCCGAGTTTCCGGATGGAGGGCCGCTGGCCTGCGTCCCAGCAGGATCAGTCAGCGTGGGAAGGCTCTAGAGCAGGTCCAGGTGCTATGTTCATAGGAGCAGGATATTAGAATGGGGGGCAGATTCCTTAGCATGGGGGGCAGATTCCTTAGCATGGGGGGCAGATTACTTAGCATGGGGCAGATTCCTTAGCATGGGAGGCAGATTCCTTAGCATGGGGGGCAGATTACTTAACATGGGGGGGGCAGATTCCTTAGCATGGGGGGCAGATTACTTAACATGGGGGGGCAGATTCCTTAGCATGGGGGGCAGATTACTTAACATGGGGGGGCAGATTACTTAGCATGGGGGGCAGATTCCTTAGCATGGGGGGCAGATTCCTTAGAATGGGGGGCAGATTACTTAGCATGGGGGGGGCAGATTACTTAGAATGGGGGGCAGATTCCTTAGAATGGGGGGGCAGATTCCTTAGCATGGGGGGGGGCAGATTACTTAGCATAGGGCAGATTACTTAGCATGGGGCAGGTTAGGAAGGGCACAATACTTTCCAAAAATAGTCACAGGACTGCCCGTTTGAAGAAAGTTCGTGGTTTCTGCACATAAGCTATTAAGGAGTCCATGGGGGCCAAAAGGTGGGGGTATTTCATTTAAATTAAAGTCTTACAAAGGTTTCTTGTGCTGATGAACATGGCCTCATCCTTCATTCAGTCATTCAGCAAACATTTACTGCAGGTCCCGTCTAGTGTAGAGAATTTGTTGATGCATGAGCTATAATTTCCACCCTTGAGCTCACAGCCTAATGGGAGAGACAAAGAAATCAGTACTATAGAGGTATTTTACCGACTCCACGAAACAGCTTGTAGCTGTGGTCTGTGCGAAATGCTGCCGGCCCAGAGTGAAGGAGCAGCCTGTGGGGTCAGAGCAGGCTCCACAGGGAGAGATCCACCTTGAGCTGGGCTTAGGAGAGTTGAGATGGAGGCGTGGGGAGACGCACATTCCTGGAAGGAACACTGAACCCTGAAGGAGTAGGACTGACGGGCAGAAGGCCAGGGTAAGAGGAGGAAGTAGGGAGAAGGGCTGGGCCAGCTCTCCACCCAGCGTCTGGCCAACAGCGCCTGTGAGGCCCAGGGTAGCTCTGATTCCAGAGTGCAGCAGTCCTGTGGGGAAGCCAGGGCACCACAGAGCTGTCAGTCAGGGGGCCTCGGCCACAGGTGACAAGGACCCGGCCACCACAGGCCGAGCCCACCACCACTCTGGATACTTGCCTAACAAGAAGTCTGAAGGCAGGTGGTTTCAGGGTTGGTGCGACAGTCAATGATGTCTTTAACATCCAGGCTCTTTCTCTGTCCTTAGCATGTTGTTTTGGTCTGAGCTAGTCACCTCCCAGGCTTACATCCCAGGCACCATGCTCCCATGCTAGCCTCTCACGGGAGGGAGGGAGGGAGGGAGGGAGGGAGGGAGGGAGGGAGGGAGGGAGGGAGGGAGGGAGGAAGGAAGGAAGGAAGGAAGGAAGGAAGGAAGGAAGGAAGGAAGGAAGGAAAGAGAAAAAGCTTTACCTCCTGGGCTGTGCCCCTGTGTCCCAGCAGCGCCTCTCAGCAGTGCCACCCAGCAGATGTGTCCTTACTCCCCAGGGGTCAGAACCGGTCGCTTGCCCACTTCTGGACCAGGCACCCTGGGGTATGAGATGGCTGCTTTGGGCAGTGAGAAGGAAGGGACGGCTCTCGGGTGGGCCAGGAAGGCGGCTGCCGCTGTGGGGCTTGGTGTGCTTGCCTGCCTGAGTCCCTCCTTCCAGCCTGAGGTTGGTCTGTCCCTCTGCCTCATCAGCCACTCCCTTCTCCCCTGGCTGCCTCACTCCTCCTGGCACCTCCAGGCTCCCTCAGGTCCCTCAAGCCCTCCTTCTTCCCACCGTCCTGTTGACTCCTCCTTGATTCATTCACTCAGCTCATGCCTCTCCTCCACCGGAACCTCTCCTCCACCTTCCAGGCCGGGAGCTCATGCTCTACGCTCACTCCCACGGCACCTCCTGCTGAACCTTCCGGTGCCCTCGCTGGTGCTCACCCTCCTCGCAGCTCCAGAGGACGTGGAACTGACTTCCGTCCTCTCACTTGTCCATTTTGCACTAAGAATGCTTGTCCAGCTGTTACCCTGACCACTAGTACCACCTCAAGGGCTGGGATTCTGTTCTCCATCTTTGCTCCTCCAGCACCTGGCACAGAACTGGACATACAACAGCAGCTCAGGAGCATAGGGGGAGGGCAGCGAGGGAAACAGGTGGCAGGAAGAAGGCATGCAGAAGGCAGGTGCCAGAGTGGAGGGGCTAAGGGACCCTCGGGGCAGAGGCAGATGGAGGGTGGGAAAGTAAACAGAGGGGTGTTACTTACAGCAAATTCCAAACATCATCTGTCATTCATCAATATTTCAGTGTGTCTCTAAAAGTTATGGAATAGGGTTATTATTTTAATACAAACAAACCATAGCCATAATCCTATATAATAGGAGGAATATGCTAATTATCCATTACGCCATAACATCACGACCAACCTACAAGTGGTAGAAAGCTACAGGAGGGCGGGGCAGTGAGTTACAAGCAGAGAGAGCTACAGGAGGGTGGGGCAGTGGGCAGAGAGCTACAGGAAGGCGGGGCAGTGAGTTACAAGCAGAGAGAGCTACAGGAGGGCGGGGCAGTGGGCAGAGAGCTACCAGCAGCAAAGAGCTACCAGCAGCGGTGGGTGGGTGGGTGGCCAGCTGAGGCAAGCGGCAGCGAGTTACTCACGCACAGATTCGTGCGCATGGCCACTAGTACTATTATACACTTTAAAACTTGTACCGATGTGTTTTTAAAACCTGAAAACAGTCAAGACTAGATAAAAATGTTCACAAAGGGTCACTCTGGGTCCTTTGAGTGATATGAGTACGTGACTTTTACGCTGGAAAAACGGCATCAGTAAATGTGAAATGACTAAAAAGGAAATGACTGCGTGCGCTCGCGGAGGGGGCAGTCATCGGAGGGGGCTCTCAGGAGAGGGCCTGTGGGAGCCGCCCCGAGCTGAGCAGCATGTGGCTGTCTTCTCCACCTGGTCAGCCAGCTCCCGGTCTGTCCCTGTCCCCTGGTCAGGGAACTGGTGGGACTAGGTCTGCTTTCCGCATGGGCCTTGAAGGCATTCCCTTGCTATTTACAGACCGTATTTCATTGAATCTAAGACATCATGGAGTGTAAAAAGGAAAAATGAGCTCTGAGAGGCCGTCCTTTGTAAGAAACATCCCAGTATCAAGGGTTCAGGAGTGGAAAGGGGGAGCTTAAGGTCAGTGGAACAGAGAGCGCTATCTAGGGTGGGGGTAGGGGTGGAAGGGGACTCAGCAGTGACCTGGAGCAGCGAGGCCATCTGGAGGCTCGGCCAGCCCTTCTACACACATTGACCAAACCTGTTTTCTGCCCCACCAGAGAGTAGGGCTGGTGAGAGAGAGATGTCCCCAAGAGCTCAGAGCCCACCCAAGGCAGAAGAGACATCCTCCAGGCAGAGCAGGGTGAGAGTGTATGAGTTTAGGGCCACACAGGCCCCGGTTTTCCCCCCTCCCCTCCCGGGCACTGAGCATCACCTGCCCTCCCTCCCCCAACATAAGGTGGTGAGGACGTGTCTTTGGTGGCCACTCTTTCCTGCTCTCAGCCCAAGTCAGGTCACGGTGCCTAGTGGCTATTGGTCACTGCTCCTTCCCTGACATTGTCTGGCTGATAATCAATGTCCGTGAAGCCAACAGTCTTATCTTGGTTTGACAGATGAGAAAAGGGACACTTAGAGGGCTTGGGCCCTTGCCCATGGTCTCTGAGTGACGAGGTGGGGCCAGACTTGTCCCGCTCCAAGCCTGTGCCGCTGCCCCACCTGACTGCGCTTGCCACAGTGCCAGGCGGTGCCAGGCCGCTCTCTGGAGCCCTCTGGGGAGGCGGTGTCTGACCAGGCCCAGCATGGAGAGGACAGGCTACTGAGCAGGCAGACGGGCCAGCCAGCCCTAGACAGCGTGCGGCCTAGCGGCTGGTGGAGGCTTGCGAGGCCTGGCCTCCTCTGGAGCTGGGACAAGAGCAGAACTGCTACCAGGCCATCGAAGGTTGCCACCGACAGCTCAGAGGTCAGAAGTCAGCTGTCAGTCTCTGGGAACTGGTCGCCATTGTCCGTGTTCCTATTCCCTCTTCTTAAAATAGCTAGCTGAGTTGCTTTTGTGGTTAAACACAGAACAAAACAAATATCCCCAGGTTCCTGTGGGTTTAAACTTCTGCCCTTAATGGAACACACCAACTCATGGAATCTTCATTCAGGAAGTCTCCCCAGTCCTGAGTCCACTCCCACCTGAAGGGAGGGAGGGAGGTGGTGCGTGTGGCAGGGCCGGGCCTGATCTGGGCACCCCCTCGTCACTGAAATTGTTCAGATGGGCCTGTCTCTCTCTTCCTCCTCTCCCCTTCCTGTTTAGTCTGCCTGAAACTCCCCTTTTTCCTCCCTCCGCCCCAAAACCACTCCATCCTCTGAATGGCTCTGCCCAGTGCTGGCAATGAGGGCTAAAGAGTTTGCCAGCTGTGCTCAGACTCGTTCTCGAGGTCCCTCTGCACCCACCTTGATTCCTCTGGATGGCATCCTGACAGATATCCCAGCTGCCCCCGTAACCCCTTCTAAACCCGTGCCCTCTCCCCCAGGAGAAGAGGGGTGTCCGTCATGTCAAGGGCCGCTGGGGTCGGAAGGGATCTGATAGAGGAGCTACTTCCAGGCTTGCTGGTGGAGCCAGGGGTCGGGGAGGAGGGGCAGGTGCCTGCATGGTCCAGGGAGCCCTCTGGGAAAGCAGAGCTCCCGACCCCTGAGCGAGATGGGCCAGTGGCATCAGTGGCCGCTCCTCCCTCACCACCTGGCACAGCCGTGCACCTCCGTTTCCTTGTCAGTTAGAGGAGGCGGTAGTGTGCACCTTACACGTCTGTGAGGAGCAGTCACACTTCTGGGAGCAGCTGCCTGCGCCGGGTGTTGCGGAGTGTACTAGTATAACAGAAACTAAAGCGTTGCTGTTGTTGAAGGGCCTGGGGCCTGGCTGAGGGCTCAGGGCCTTCGAAGGATTTGGGGCCCAGACTGACACAATCACTTTCAAGTCTCAGAAAGTTGAGTGTGGGCAGGAGGGAGAATGGACAGGAGGAGCGAGGCAGGAGGAGCTGAGGCAGTGGTCCGAGAGCAGCGGGTGGTGGCCGGCTGGGCAGTGGAGGAGGGCGGGTGAGGAGATGGGAGGATGGGAGTCGGGAGCTGGATGTGCCAGTGAGAGCAGTCCGGGAGTCGGGTGACTAATCCTTCCGGCCTGTGGCGGGTCACTGAGACGTGGTTTCTGAGGGGGCGGGTTCTGCATGGTGATTAGCCACTGCCCCCTAAACCACAGAGTGGGTCCACCCTCTGCTCAGAGGGTGCCTGTCCATTCTTGGTTCTTCCCATTAGCTCAGTAAGTGTGTGAGTCCCCAAGGGTGGAGAGTGTGACACAAAGAAGCCACACTCCACATAATTGTAGGGTGAAGAAGTCCATCTCTCAACCCTTTTAAAGGGACCCCTTCCTCATCCCTCCCCCAGCCATAATCCAGGGAATACAGCAACCCTTCCCTGCCGCTGGGTCCCTACCTGGATGCCTCAGCTGCCTGGCATGTGTCCTGGGCCGTCCTGGCATCCATCCGGCCGCAGGGCCCAAGGTAGGACTCAGGGTGGAATGAAGTCAGGCCAGTTTCAAAACCAAGGTCACAGAAGCCACAGTCACAGGGAGCTGGCTGTGCTGGCCCAGCCCAGGGATTGCCCTACAGGATGGGATGGGCCTGCCTGCCTGGCTGGAACAGGACCCTTCCCAGTCACACGGAGACGGCCCCCTCTGTCCCGGCAGGCCTGGGCTTAGAGCCCAGCCTCTTTGGGCGCCCTAGGGTTGGGGCCATGTCCATCTGGTCCGCCATTGCATCCCCAGCGCATGAGCAGGCCTGGCGCTTCAGCAGCTGTGCAGCCCCCTGAGCCTATGTGTCCCTGTGAACAGGGTGATGCGCGCCTCCCTTGCAGGACGGTTGTGCCATCACATCACGTCCATGTGCTGGTCCATCGAGCACTCCTGGTAGGTGAGAGCTGGCTGACAGTGAGGGGCCAGCGGGCACGTGAGCCCGGCGGGGTGTGAGCACTCACGCCTGGAGCCAGAGTCTGGGAGCCAGGGAGACGGCCCTGGTGTCTGAACCTTAAAGCGCTGATGAGCTCCTGTCTCTTCACACACTTACATATGGCAAAAGTGCATGTGTGTGCCTGGCATACCAGCCAGGGGTACTGCATGATGGAATGTGGCCTGGAAAAGGCAGCATATAAAACCGCCCGTGCGCGCTGTGGTGGAACTTATTTAAAAACTGCGCTGTGTGCCCTAACCGGTTTGGCTCAGTGGATAGAGCTTTGGCCTGTGGACTGAAGGGTCCCAGGTTCGATTCTGGTCAAGGGCATGTGCCTTGGTTGCAGGCACATCCCCAGTAGGGGGTGTGCAGGAGGCAGCTGATCGATGCTTCTCTTTCATCGATGTTTCTAACTATCCCTGTCCCTTCCTCTCTGTAAAAAAAAAATCAATAAAATATATTTTTAAAAAAATGCACTGTATGAGAAGAATCTAGAGAGGGGTGGTGTGTTCGAGTGGAGGGACAACGCTTCACTCTTAAAGAACATGTGTGAGTGTCCTCCATCATCGTTCCTGTGATGAACACCAGCGAAATAGTTTATTTATAAAAACAAACAGAACACTCTATATTGCCCTGGCCAGTGTGGCTTGGTTGAGCATCATCCCCTGCACTAAAAGGTCACTGGTTCAGTTCCTGGTCAGGGCACTTGCCCAGGTTGTGGGCTCGATCCCCAAAGGGGGCATGCAGGAGGCAGCTAATTAATGTTTCTCCCTCCCCCTCCCTTCCTCTCTCTCTAAAATTAACAAAAGCATTACTATTATTTTTTAAAAAAACCAAAAACACCCTATATTGTCACGTGAAAAACAAGTACTCTGAAGCCAGCGCGTCTGGATTCGAGTACCTGCTCACCCGTTCAGTGCTCTGAGCCACGGCTTCTCAGCCGTCACAGGACAGCGCACTCCCAAACCAGTGTGGCTTCTAATAAGAATTAAGTGACAAAACGGAACAATGGAGGTGGCATAGCTTACACAGTGCCTGGCCATCTTAGGTGCCCGGGAAGCATCCACTGCCCTCCCTCTCTTCCCGCCCGACCCCCATCACCACAGCACACCCCACCGCTTGAGTTTATCATCTGGGACCCCACACGCCTTTGTGACTTGTGCTTTCCTTCCCTCAGAGAAAGCTACCGATGGCTCCCTGCAGAGCGAGGACTGGGCCCTCAACATGGAGATCTGCGACATCATCAACGAGACGGAGGAAGGGTAAGCCGGCCAGAGAGCCCCCACCCCATCCCACCACCTCTGTGCGCAGAGGCAGACCCCCGTGTGCCCCTCGGGGCCAGGGGGCTGCAGAGGCCATCTGAGCCCCACCCCAGCAGGAACACACATTTTGGAGCCACGGTCCCATCAGCCCTCCCGGCAGATGGGTGAGAGGCCTAGAGACGCCAGGTGTACGGCTGGCCCGTGGCCCCAGACGCTCCCGCCCATTCAGCCTCCCGGCCACACCCCAGCCAGGCAGGTCTTCCCAGGCCAGGGCCAGCTGGCAGCTCAGATTAGGAGGCGCCCACGTACCTCTCTGCATCCTGTGGGCTGGAGTGTGTTAGGGACTCCGGCTTCCTCAGCGAGCAAGAACAGACTTTTGTTTCCTTAACGTGTGAAACCACAGGAAGGGTCGGGATCACGGGGAGGGCAGTGGAGATGACGCAGAACTGAGTGGGCCGTGGCCAAGCATTTTCTGGGCGCGGGCCACGGTGCCCTGCTCAGCGCCCAGGGGCCCTGCCGAGCTTGCACTACGGGGTGTGGGGGAGGCACCACGGTGCTGGCTCCTGGTCTCTGACTCGCCGGCACTGACCAGCTCTGGACCTGGGCAAGTCACTTTAACTCTTTCCAGTCATTCTAGCCATAAGCCCACGGCCCTGAGGGGAGCAGAGCGGGGATGCTCGTCCACTGTCCTCAGAGAAATCCAGGAAGGGTGGGGAGAGGCGCGGCAGGCACCCAGCAGGAAGGGCGGCCCGGCGCGGCCTCTGTTGTGGAAAATCAGGGTCAGCAGTTGGAGCAGGATCTCCTTTCCCTCTCCGTTCTTCACTGGGAGTCCAGTTGTCCTGTGGGGGTCCTCTCGGCCTGGCCGCGCTGTGTGATAGAGGGCAGGCGGGGAGCGGGCAGGGGCACCCAGCTCGGAGCCCAAGAGGGGCTGTGGGCAACTGCATCAGGCAGTCAAGACCATTCGGGAGAGCTGACATCACGGCGGGTTCTTGCAGACTGAGAAGGGCTCAGACACACCCCCTCAGGTGCGTGCTGTCGACTTGAGCACCTGTGTTCCAGGCTCTGCACGAGGCCTGGGGACCCAGCAGTGACAAAGCGGGCATGACCCTCGCCTCCCTGAGCTTGGCGTCTAGATTCAGTCTCTTGCCCACTCCTCCTTGGGCGGTGGCCTCCTTGTCATCCACTCTGGGCTCCTAGCAGAGTACTGGGCACACAGTAGGCCCACAGCAAGGGCACGCACACCAGAACTTCTGATCCCAGCGCCATGCCCTTTCTCTGGACCACTCTGTGAGAAGTGGGGACAGGTCCCTTTGGAGCTGAGGTGGCCACAGGTGAGCGGCCCGCCAGGAGCGAACACCAGCTTCCCCCCAGGAGGAGCCCGAGGGCGAGGAGCTGCGCCTGGGTTTTGGGCTGCAAATTGCCTCAAGCTTTTGGGATGGGCCCCACCACTCCGAGTGTCCTCTGTCACAGCCTAACAGCCTGCACACTCAGCCCCTCATGGAAGTCGTTCCCAGGAAGGCTTTCCTGCCGCCTCCTCTCCTGTTGGGTGACCCCTGTCAGGGTTCCTGACTGCCCTGACTTGCCCCGAACTGGTGAGCACTGAGAGGCAGACAGACGCCTGGTCAGACAGCAGGGCAGGCCCTCACAGCCACGTGCTCATGCTCCCACAGCCTCTCCCGCGTGCTGGGCCCTCGTTCCTGCCCTCTAGTGAGGCCTCTAGCCGCGGCCCCGTCAGTGCCGCGTGGCCGTGCATGCAGGGAGGTGGAGGACGGGGACAGCATTGTGGCTCTGGAGTTGGGGGTCACAAAGGCTTTTAGGGAAGAGTGGTCGGTCTGGACAATATATCGATGTCACCTGTTCAGGGCTGAGGGGCAGGAGCAGGGGTGAGGCATGGAGATGGCAGTAAAATACAGACGGGACAGGGAGAGCTGCCACCAAGGTCTTCAGGCGCCCTCTGCACGGAGGTGCATCCACTCTCCTACCTACCATGTCTGGGCCCCTCCCTTCCCTCCACACTCAGGGTGCCCATCTTTCCTGCTTCCCACCCCAGGGCCCTGGTCTTGCCTCTGTCTCACCCGCTGCCCTGCTCCCCACAGCGGGCTCCCTCTCGTCCTTCTCACTCAGCTGTAGTGCCACCTCCTCGGAGAAGACTTCCCCACCCTCCCATACCCACTCGCTCTACCCCGGGACCCGCTCACTTCCCACCTGCGCCAAGCTCCACAGAGCATGTGACCTTCTGTGGAGCAGGGCCGTGTGGGCTTGTTCAGTGTGTCCCCAGACCCAGCGTGAGGGAAAGGATGGGGGGGCAAGGAGCTGGCAGGACGGGCATTAGGGCTCTGCCTACAGTCACAGGTTCTTCACTTCCATCTGCAACCCAAGCCCCTGGGGCGTGGTGAGCACGCACATCCCCTCAGGTTCGGTGCAGGGGTCAAGAGTGGGGTCAAGGTTCTGGGTTTTGTGTTTTGTTTTGTTTTGTTTTGTTTTTTAAAATATATTTTATTGATTTTTTACAGAGAGGAAGTGAGAGAGATAGAGAGCTAGAAACATCAATGAGAGAGAAACATCGATCAGCCGCCTCCTGCACATCTCCTACTGGAGATGTGCCCGCAACCCAGGTACATGCCCTTGACCGGAATCGAACCTGGGACCCTTCAGTCCACAGGCCGACACTCTATCCACTGAGCCAAACCGGTTTCGGCAGTTCTGGGTTTTTAACCAACACTCACATGTCCCCCCTCAGGAGGTCCGGGACCACACACTGAGCGTCCCTGCCACGGATATTGGAGATCAACCCGGGGACTCTGGTGGGGCGGGTGGTGTGATGTGATTAGAGGCTGGACACACAGCAAACAGGGACAGGAGCAGGGAGGCGGCTCGTAGGAGCCGTCCCATCTCCAGAGCCCCTGATCTCAGGCTGGCCCCTGCCTCAGCCATCCCTCCTCTTTTCCTCTGTCCAGTCCCAAAGATGCCTTTCGAGCAATAAAGAAGAGGATCACGGGGAATAAGAACTTCCACGAGGTGATGCTGGCTCTCACGGTGAGTGCCCCGTCTGGCTGGCTCGCTGGCCATGGCCGGACCAGGGTTCACTGGGGTCGGCTCCCTGGGCCCAGCAGGACACCTAGCCACTCGAGGCCCCTTTTCCAAGGGCTGGGAAGGAAGGGTCCTGGGCAAAGTGCTGTCCTGACTACACTGCTGGTGGTCACAGAGTGGCAGGAGGCCATTGGGGGAAAGTTCTCTCCAACATACTGGCTGGTGAGCGAGCAGGTCCCTCGGAACCAACCATGGAGAGCCCAGGCCAGAGGGCCTGTGGGTGAGCCCACGCTTCCCCAGGGCAGGAAGCCTGGCAGGTGCAGGTGGGTGCTGATAGCGCCTGAACGTCCCACCTGAAAAATGAACATAAAACAAATTCTGGTGGCTGAGGACAGCCCTTGCCCCCAACAGGATGAGCCAGGCATGAGTGGGCATCCTGGCTGTCAGGGCGGGTTTGCTGGGGAGTGGGGCTGAGAGCTCTGTGCCAGCCTCCGCCACAGAGCCTTATATCCAGGTGAATCCGCTGCGCTGAAAAGTAAAGGCAGCTGCTGCCGTGAATAGGAACAGGACACTTGGAGGGAAGCTCTCCACCGCAGGGTCCACCTGATTGAAAGTCCTCTTTGGTTTCCACCTGAGAGCCACCTCCCTCCAGACTGTACTCAGCTCAGAAAGAGCATAGGACAGGGTTCTGTAGGTACCGAGGCCACTTAGCTTAGCGAAGGGCCTCTGGCCAGCACACCGCCCTCTGCCCAGCCAGTGAGCCAGCCCGGATCCCACATCGTCCCTGCTTCTCCGAGGGCCGGGTCTCACCTCAAGAGGCCCCATCCTCTCCCAGGCTGCACTCTGGGACATCAGCCGAGTGGGAGGGTGGGGCCCGGGGTGCTCCCCTCCTCTCACGGGTGCTCACGGCACCTCCCGGCCTCCAGGTCTTAGAAACCTGTGTCAAGAACTGTGGGCACCGCTTCCACGTGCTGGTGGCCAGCCAGGACTTCGTGGAGGGCGTGCTGGTGAGGACCATCCTGCCCAAGAACAACCCCCCCACCATCGTGCACGACAAGGTGCTCAACCTCATCCAGGTGCGTGCTAGCGGGCGGGCGGGGCGGGCGGGGAGAAAGGTGCCGATGATGCTGCTGCTGCTGCTGCCGCCTTGATCTGTTTCTTGTTTAGGGCCACCTTGGCTGTCTACTGATTGGACGTTAAGTGTGTGGGGAGACTTGTCAGCATTGGGCCTTGCTGTGGAGTGGGGTGTCGGGGTGATGTTGTAAAAGGACCAGCAACTCGGGGACAGAATTGCTGTTCTCTGGGACGGGGTAGGTGAGCTTAAAAGGGCTTCAGGAACAGTCATTACCGGCCATGTCCCTTTGTCCCCTCAGTCCTGGGCCGACGCGTTCCGCAGCTCACCCGATCTGACTGGTGTCGTCGCCGTCTACGAGGACCTGCGGCGGAAGGGCCTGGAGTTCCCAATGACTGACCTAGACATGCTGTCGCCCATCCACACACCCCAGAGGGTGAGGAGACTCGGGACAGTGGGGAGGGGAGGCAGGAGCCATCACCCGCTGCTTTCTGCAGCTGCTTCCTGGGGCCCCTGCGGGCCTCACTGATCCAGTCGTTTGTCCTCTAGACCGTGTTCAACTCAGAGACACCATCCGGACAGAATTCTGCTGGCACTGACACCTCTCATCGGGGGGACCCCAGCCAGCACGCGGCTCCTGTGTCCACCCCAGCTGTACTCCCCAGCGACACACCCATAACGCCAACCCCTGAGCAGGTAAACGAGCCAGGGTCAGAGCCCCGAGGGGCACGGTGGAGGCTGCCTCCTCACGTGTCAGGGAAGACCCCCTGTCGGAATGAAAGAGACTATGGGGCCTCTGCTGGTCCTCACAGCCACCCTACGGTGCCTGTTATTCCGCCTGTTTGGACGAGGAGGCTCAGAGAGAGAAATGCATTCACCCAGAGCCACACTGCTCAGCAGAGGCAGAGCTGGGATTCGAGCTCAGATCTGTCTGGCTGCAGGCCGGCTCTGTCCTGTGCATCAGCCAGCCTCCAGCTCTGTTCTGGGTAGAGCCTTCGGGCAGCACCAGGGAGAGGAAGTGCCCGCAGGGGCCCCTTCGCCCACAGCAGCTCACTGCCCTTGTGTGGTTTGCTTATGTGCTCACGTGACATTTGAGCAGAGGTTCTGGCTGAAAGTAGTTTAAAACATCCACACAAATAATCCTGAAAACCCCTTGCATTGCATCCTGCTGCTTCCCGTGAAGCCCCAAGAAGAGAGGGCGTAGTGTAAGATTTCCAGGGGCAGGCCAGGGCCTGGGAGAGCTTGGAAAGAGCACCCTCCTCAGACTAGGGGTCCCAT